AGCGAGTCCTGGAGCAGCGCGAGAGAGAGTGAGTCCCAGTGCAGTGCGAGAGGGAGCGAGTCCCGGAGCAGCGCGAGGGGAGGCGAGTCCCGGTGCAGTGAACCTTACCTCAGTGCAGCTGAGAGCCAGCGCGGAGGGGACTGGAGGCTTGGAGCAGAGCAGGACGGTTGTTTGACCAGGACCTGGAGCTGGCAGTCAGACCATATGCCGAGCTGCTGCTGTTTGAAATTCTTTACCGAACTATAACACCAATCCTTTAACTATGTTATAACTATCTTATTTCCAACTTATTGTTTAGATACTGTAAGTAATGCTACTAGTTTTCCTTTTATTCCTCTTTTGTATCCAAGATTTGTACCTAGGTACTTGTACCAAGATGGTGCCATTAGGAGGCAGCCATTGTAAAAAGTTTTCACTGTACTCCTGTATTTCTGTGCTGGAGTGCATGTGGTAATAAAGGATATTCTATTCTATTCTAGAGAATCATAGTCATAGCGTCATACAGCAAGCCTTTGGTCCAACCACTCCATGCTGAACATAATCCCAAATTAGCCTTTGGATGAATGAGCACTTCCTGAATGGCCTGGCTCTGATTTGAAGTTATTATCCTTCTCTGCATTCTCCCACCAAAGGAAACAGTTTCGCTCCATCAACCCAACTGGAAACTTTTTAACATTTTGAAAAGCCACCACGAGTTAACCCTTCAAATCTCCTGAATACAAAGGACCACCCTGGTCTCTTGATTTAGCACGGAATTCACCAAGGAAGAAGTTCCACCACAAAGCTTTAGTTCTTTTTGTTCACCCTTTCATGGGACTCAGCTGGCTATGCCAACATCTGTTGACCATCCCTAACCACCCATGAACTGAGTGGCTTCCTTAGTCTTTTCATGGGGCAGCTAAGAGCCAATGCAATACAAGCTGGAGGAACAACACTTTGAACTCACTAAATTCAACAACTTAAGGGCAAGAATTTTGTGCCCCATTTTGATTACATCCCTTCCCCCCTCCCCCACCACGTCATGTTTGTGTCTTGGTAGATTTTTTCTCAGCGCAGCGGATCCATTTTTTCCGTTACACACCTACCATTTACACCTATTTTACATCACTATCACTCCTTTACCACCATTATCACTCCTTTTGCCTTTTGCTCTGGGCACTCTCACCATCTGTTCCACTTGTTCCTCCTCTTCCTCCATCAATGGCAGAAACAACACCATTTTCCAGCCCCTTCCAGTTCAGACAAAGACTCAATTTGGACTCAAAAATGATAACTGATTCTCTCTCCACAGATGCTGCCAGACCTGCTGAGTTTCTCCAGCATTTTCTGCTTTTATTTCAGATTCCCAACACAATAAAAGCAATACAGTGCAGATCAGAGCCAGCCACATTGGATCTGTATAAGCCAGACTGGATAAAGATGGCAGATTTCCATCCCTTAAGAGTCTTAATGAACCAAATGGGTTTAGATGACACTGATTTTAATGTCACACTGAGACTAGATTTCAATTCCAGATTTTATTAATTGAATTTAAATCCATTAACTGCCGTGGGTGGGATTTGTACCCCTGACTCCACAGGATTAGCCCGTAGCTCTGGATTACTAGTCCAAAGACATTATTACCGTCTCCCCATTTAGAGTGGGTGTCCCAGGGTGGGGGCAGATACTGATTTGTGAGTGAGAAAGGGCAGCACAGAACAGGACAAAGCAAAATGCCAGATGAGGCTCTTACCACAGTCACGGTTTCCTTTAACCCGGGTCCCTGTCACCTCACTGCCTTGCTGGTCAACACACCAGCACTCGCCAGAATAAGTATCACATTGCAGATTCCTGTAGTAACCATCCTCATCGCAACTGGGAATGAAGGTACCTGTGAGACAGAGAATGGAGTCACTTACACAGTAGTTGCACTTCTGGATATCAACTCTTCACAAAACAGAATTAAAGAACGTACATTTCTACAGCACCTTTCATGACGTTTGGAAGTCCTGAACCATTAAATACTTCTGACACGTGCTCACTGTTGCAATTCATGCCAGTCAGTTGGCACTCAGCAAGCTCCCAAAAACAAGGAGGATTAGCTTTTAAAGCAGATAACCGGATTGAAGGTGTGGGTTGACGGACAGAATGTTGACCAGTCACCAGGAACAACTTCCCAGCTCACTGGTAAATTAGACCAAAGGGATCTTCAAACCCACCCAAGAGGGTGGAAAGGTCCGTGGTGCAGCTTCTCACCGCGAGTGCTCTGGGTTTAGCAGCTGACATGTTCATGCTGTGGAGGCAGCGAGAGAACTAGAGGAAGGCAGAGGAGTGACCCACTGACCCCCTGGTGTTTCATACAACCTCTAAAACTCCTAAGTCGAATGAATTTATAAAAAAATAAATTTCTTTCGAATGACATTCACAACTCTTCCAGAGGCACATCAATTAGCAAGGGCAATGATCACCAAAAGCAACCTGTTTTTATGCACCCAGGTTATGTGGGCATCACTGACTAGGCCAACGTTTATTGCCCCTCTCTATTTGCCCTTCAGTGGTGCTGAGCTGACATTTGGAATAGCTGCCATCCATGTGCTGCACATTGACCCACACTGCCCTTAGGGAGTGTTTCCAGGATTTTGACCCAGCGACAGTGACGGAACGGCGATATATTTCCAAGTCAGGATGGTGAGTGACTTGGAGGGGAACTTGCAGGTGGTGGTATTCCCATGTATCTGCTGCCCTTGTCCTTCAGTGGTTATGGGTTTGGAATGTGCTGTCTAAGGAGCCTTAGTGAATTTCTGCAATATGTCTCGTGGATAGTACGCTGCAACTGAGTGTCGGTGGTGGAGGGAGTGAGTACTTTTGGATGTGGTGCCAATCAAGCGGCTGCTTTGTCCTGGATGGTGTCAAGCTTCTTGAGTGTTGTTGGAGCTGCACCCATCCAGGCAAATGGGGAGTATTCCATCACACTCCTGACTTGTACCTTGTCGACAGTAGGCAGGCTTTGGGGAGTTAGGACGTGAATCGCTCACTGCAGGATTCTTAGCTTCTGACCTTCTGTTAGACTCGTAGAGTTGTACAGCACAGAAACAGACGCTTTGGCCCAACCAGTCCATGCTGATCATATCCCAAACTAAACTAGTCCCACCTGCCTGTGCTCATCCCATGTCCCTTCAAACATTTCTTATTCATGTACTTATCTAAATGTCTTTTAAATGTTGTAACTGTAACTGCATCCATCACTTCCTCTGGAAGTTTGTTCCACACACGAACCAATCTCTGTGTAAGGACATTGCCCCTCACGTCTCTTTAAATCTTTCTCCTTAAAAATACATCCCCAGTCTTGAAATCACCCACCCTAGGGTAAAGACACCTGCCATTCACCTTCTCTATACCCGTCATTATTTTATAAACCTCTAGAAGGTCACCCCACAACCTCCTACGCTCTACTGAAAGAAGTCCCAGCCTATCTTGCAGTCATTGTATCTATGTGGTTGGTCTAGATTAGTTTCTGGTTGGATCCGTTGAAATCTATGCTGTTTTAAAACTAATTCTATACATTCAATTGAAAGAACCATGGATTATTTCTCTGGTTGTCAGACAGAAATGGACAGATCAATAGGATGTGTTGACTAATACCTCACTAAATGTCTCATACACAATAAACAACGAACCAGACTTCGTCAGCCATTCTGCTCAACAAACACTTTTTGCTTTCTACTGAAAAGGCTATCCCAAGTTACAGGCTATTCTGTTAAACAAGCTGGATTTACATGTTTTTTGATGTTTGCATACGTGCTTTGGAGATAAACTACACAATCTCCTCTTAATCTAATCTACCCTTTGGTTTACTATAGCTTAAGTCTTTTCAAACCACAACCAATCAGCTCTTTGAATCGATGACCCCAATTATTTATCAGCTGAACAACCCACAATCTGATTTGCTTTTGCAAACAGTGAAGCACTTTCCAAAACTGAAGCCCTGAGTCAAATGCCATTGCACAAGATGTCAGGGCAAATGCCTGTGGATCGCCTTTTAATGGGAAGATCTGACTTGTAGTTCGATGGAGAGTGGATGCAGGTTCACAACTCAGTTACACACAGTCATGGGGAAGCACTCATCACATGTATACAGGCATACGTACACGCAAAAAACAGACACGCATGCAAATGCACACATTCACGCAAACACACTGACACAAACACACATACAATCACACACACATCCACGCAAATACACACATGCACAAGTATCTATCACATATCACATGCTCAAACACACACGTGCACAAGCATCCATTACACACGTGTACACACATATATTCTCACATACATACAGACACAGACACACACACACAATACTGATTTGGAACTTTAGCTGGAATGTTACGCTGTATCCCGGAGCTGACTGGTGGGGTGAGGTTGCAGGGATTTTATCAAGGCATTGATGGTCTGCCTGCCTTTAGGCCAATTGAGGCCCATGAGTGACCATTAATGACCATTTAAGGGCCTCTTGCTGATATTTTGGTTACCATTTGAGGGCGAGGGGGGGAACAATTTACCACGTCTACCTCCACTCCAGGGAGGCTGCCCAGTAAAACATGGTTGTACTTTGGGCTTCTGGGCAGGAAGACCCCTTCCTCCTCGACGCAGCTGCTGTCTGCTTGGCTCCAACAAGCCCTAATCCAAACATTCCTTCAGATTGCTCAGGTCTGTGCTGACCTGCAATCCCAGCAGCGGCCATACATCCGAGTGGCGCTGCTGAGACCGGAGGAGCTGCTGACTGTCCAATTGGTCAGTTGCTCTTGAAGGGGAGATGTCACGCCTCATTCAGGGAAGAAGCCATTATTGCATGCAATTAACTGCCTTAGCAACATAAAACATGAGTCATAGATCTCAGACCAGTGAAGGCACGCTTGTCCAGATATCGTGACTATTTGTGGGACTATGCAAAAGCCTGCCATTATCTCTCAAGGATCATATTTCAGGGATTTTAGATGTCTATTACTCTCTCTTCTAAGTCTAATATGGGTTTAAAACCCATTCCAGAGGAATTTTCAATATTTCTTCAACACTGAGGCGCTGTTGGATGTAACGTAAGAGGCAGAATCACCAGAGTCCTACTCCTTCATTAGTGAGTGACAACTGGCAGTGAGTTTAACCTGAGGGTCACCACACCTCAAGCAAGGAGCATGATTAGGAATGCAGGACCTTCACAGTGACTTCAGCCAGCGCAGGAATTAAACCCACAGTGTTGGCATCACTTTGCATCACAAACCAGCTACCCATCCAACTGACCTACTAATACCTTCACTTTTCACATGTGGTTTTATGCCCACATCGATGAGTCTAGGTTCAAGAAAGACTGGTCAAGGAGAAGACAAGGTCAAGAACTATCTTCAAGCTTGGCCTTCTTTATAATGTTGTTTTCTTTAATATATACTAAGAGTAAATGTTACAATACTCAAGTATTCAGGGATATACCAGGCTATAATCTTAGTGTCACACTATTCAAAAACATTTCCATAAAATCTATGATGGTAGTCAGTCTATTCCACATACTTCTTTGGAGGTGTATTTAACATGCACTGGCCTAGGCATCAGGCTTCTGCCTAGCTCTCCATGTATTTCTTGCTTCCTTCATAACTCTACCCACACCGTACTATTTAAACCCAATGAAGGGCAACTCCATGATTGCTGCAGGGTCCTAAAGCTCTTAAACAACACTTCCTTTTGGAAATGTTAAACTCAGATCTCTTTTGCCCAATCAGTTGGGTGTAGAGGGTTCCAGGGTATTATCTTAAATAAGAATGGAAAAGGTTTACCCGAGGTCCTACAAAATATTTAATTTCTAAAATTCAATTGTCTGGTCATTATTTCATTGCTGCTTGTGGGACGTCCCATATATTATTAGTGATTATACTTGGAAGAAGTATATCATTATCACAAAGCACTTTGCGATGCTGTGAAGATATAAAAATGAGAGGTGCCGTACAAATTTAAGTGTTTGATAATGGCAGCATACCCAAATAATTCATTAATAGAGTCATAGTCATACAGCACGAAAAAAGACCCTTCAGTCCACCTTGACCACGCTGACCAAGTTTCCCATATCCCTCTAAACCTTTTCTCCTCATTTACCTGTCCAAATGTCTTTTAAACGTTGTAACTGTATCTGCATGTACCACTTTCTCTGGCAGTTCATTCCACATACAAATTACCCTGTGCGTGAAAAAGTTGCCCTTCAGGTCGCTCTTAAATATTTCTCCCCTCACCTTAAAGTTATGCCCTCTAGTTTTGAACTTCCCAACCCGAGGGAAAAGACCTTTGCTATTCATCTTATCTATGCCCCTCATGATTTTATACACCTCTATAAGATCACCCCTCAACCTCCTACACTCCAGAGAAATAGGTCCCCAATTTTTCAACCTTTCCTTATAACTCAAAACCTCTAGTCCCGATAACATCCTTGTAAATCTTTTTTGCACCCTCTCCAAGTTAATAATATCCTTCCTATAACAGGGTGACCAGAACTGGACACAGTACTCCAAAAGCAGCCTCACCAATGTCCTGTACAACCACAGCATGATGTCTCATCTCCTATACTCAATGGTCTGAGCAATGAAGGCCAGAGTGCCAAATGCCTTCTTTTCCACCCTGTCTACCTATGACACAACTTTCAATGAACTACGTACCTGAACCCCTAGGTCTCTCTGCTCTACAACACTCCCCAGAGCTCTACCATTAACAGCATAAGTCCTGGCCTTGTTCGTTCTACCGAAATGCAACAAATTAAACTGCATCTGCCACTCCTCAGCCCATTGGCATCTGCAGTCCTTGCTATCGCTTAAATGAAAAAACTTTCTGTTTTCTGCTCTAGGAAACAGAAGAAAATCGCTCGAGAAACTTCCAACTTAGCAGCAGTTCCAAGATCTCCTACTCTCCTTCCATCAATTTTTTTTTTACGTAAATTATTTTTGAGGCAATATCACATCCCCAGAAGAACATTAATGAACTATTTGTTCTCTTTTCCAACAATCTGACAGCTTGCCACTTTTGATATTCCTAGGAGAAGCCCAGAAGCTACCAGACTTACTGACTTTGATACCACCATGTGACATGATGGACTTTAACCAAATTGCGAGGTTTGTAAGAAAAGGCACAGAATAAGATACAGAATGGACAGATGAAAAAGACAGGCTGATCTCCTGCATTATAAAACTTATAAATGGCACATAAATGATCGCGAATACCTTTCATTTCCGTTCCGGAAATTAAGGAGAACTTGCATTTTACAAAATTTGTAATTATTATTTATCACAGAATTGTTACAGTGCAGGAGGCCATTCAGCCCATTGTCCCTGCACCAGTTCTATAACCCAGTGCCAATCTCCTCCCTTTTCCCCACATCCCTGGCCACTATTTCTATCCAAATAACCATCCAATGTCCCTCCTGAATGTCTCAATTGAACCTGCCTGCACCACATTTACAGCCAATGTATTCCAGATCCTAATTACTCACTGTGTGAAAAAGATTTTTCTCACATCACCCTTGCTTTATTTGCATGTCACGTTTAATCTACGCCTTGCCATTTTTTTTTCCAAGCGGAAACAGCTTTACCCTATCTACTCTATCCAGCTCACTCTTGATTTTGAAATCAGATCACCTCTCAGTCTTTGGTGGCTCAGTGGTTAACACTACTGCCTCACAGCACCAGGGACCCAGGTTCAATTCCAGCCTTGAATAGTTGTCTGTGTGGTGTTTGCATGTTCTCCCTGTGACTATGTCCCATGGTCCAAAGATGTGCAGGTTAGGTGGATTAGCCATGCTAAATTATCGATAGTGTCTAGGGATGTGGAGGCTAGGTGGATTAGCCATGGGAAATGCAGGGTTACAGATGGGGTAGGGGGTGACTCTGGCTGGGATGCACTTTGGATGGTTGATATGGGCTGAATGGCCTGCTTCTTGTAAGGATTTTATGATTCTTCTCTTAAAGCGAAACAGACCCAACTTCTTCAATCTATCCTGATAACTGAAGTTCTCATTCCTGGAACCATCATAGTAAGTCGCTTCTGCACTCGCTCCAATTCATGCACATCCTTCCTATAATCTGGCGCCCACAAATGTATGCATGTTTAATTCTTCTGTAATTGCAATTTGGCATCTGCTGGCAGGATGGACGAACTATCCAAAAATAAAGTAAGTCACGTCACCTACACTTGGCAAAGGTGGGAATAGGGGTCTGTGAAGGACGCCCTTCAGAGGGTCGGTGCAGACTTGATGGGCTGAATGGCCTTTTATCTGCACTGTAAGGATTATATGACCTTTCAAAAGCATGCAGTTTGATGCAGTTGATCTTTCTAAGTGTACTGTAGAGGTGAGCCTCCTTGGCAATTATTTGCACAGAAGAGTTGACTTGGCTGCGATTTGGAATTTGGAGGCTGTGAGCTAATGAAACTCCAGGGGTGTGAAAAAAATGACGGTTTCCAGCTGAGACTCACCAGGCACTTTGCGCACTGCCTCTTGCAGTTGGATCTTCTCGAGCTCAGCCAGGCAGGGGGGCTCTGCAACAACACAAGGAGAACATTCATCAATAAACCAACACAGCGTCTTTCCACATCAAATGAAAATGCAGCCAGGCCCTTCACAGGTGCACTCTGCAAATTGCAGTTTGACACTAATTCATGCGAGGAGATAGCAGGAGAGATGGGGAGCTTGGTTTTCGGGAGAAGGGAGAGAGAAGAAGAGCGGACCAGGCTCAAATGGCCTACTCCTGTCCTTAGCTTCAATGTTTCTAAGTGAGTCAGTGAGGTTTAGAGCAGAATCCCAGCACTTAGAGATCTGAATAAACAGCTGCCAATGGTGGACTGATTAAAACTGGAGATGAACAAGGGATCAGAACTGGGAAAATGGCCACAAGATTGAAAGCTTGGAAAAGGGTGGCACGGTAGCTCAGTGGTTAGCACTGGTGCCTCACAGTGCCAAGGACCTGGGTTTGATTCCAACCTTGGGTGACTGCCTGTGTGGAGGTTGCACATTCTCTGTGTCTGTAGGTGCTCTGGTTTCCTCCCACAGTCCAAAGATGTGCAGGTTAGGTGGATTGGCCATGCTAAATTGCCCATAGTGTCCAAGGATGTGCAGGCTGGGTGGATTAGCCATGTGAATTACAGTGATAGGGTAGGGACAGGTGAGTTTGTGTGGGGATGCACTTGGAGGGTCGGTGTGGACTCAATGGGCTGAATGGCCTGCTTCTACACTGTAGGGATTCTAAAACATCAACTGGAAGAAATTAGCAGAGAGACTGAAAGGCTGGCCCAAAACATGACGAGAGGTTTTGAAAGGAAGAGGGGGATATGCAGCGAGAGGAAGTGATTCAGCTCTATGCAATCAAAACTGAAACTGGGTTGTTCCTGAGACACGGTGTGGTCCACCATGTTGGAAAGTTGGAAGTCAACTCATTGTGCATAAACTCAACTCATTCCTTCCAACATTGGGTGGACATTCACTGGTGGAGGAAGGGTCCATCTACCAATGCTCACATTAGTATCACAGCAACACCTACTTTCCCTCCAGAAGCAGAAGCACCATTCAGCCATGGAAACATGTCCGTCTCTGTAGGTGTCGCAGGAGTTGAAGAAGGGCCTCACGCAGACCTCGTATTTGTCCAGGTTGATGGCTGCAAGCTCTGCCTCATCCAGGAACAGGTCCGTGTCTGTATCCAGCTTGGAAAACATCCAACCGACTGAGTCCCTGCAGCTAGCCACCATATTCTTATCCAACACTTTACAGGGAAAAACGAAGCAGAGATTATGACTAACAGACAGAAGCTAGTTATGGCTAAGAAATAAAGTGAATACTTAGGTGACCCAAGACACTATTTTATTTTATTCATTCACGGGATGCGGGTGTAGCTGGCTAGGCCAGCATTTATTGCCCATCCCTAAGTGCCCAGAGGGCAGTTCAGATTCAATCCCATGGCTGTGAGTCTGGAGTCACACAGAGACCAGACCAGGTAAAGATATCAGTTTCTTTCCCCAGAGGATATCAGTGAACCAAAGGGGATTTTTTTCCCTGACAACTGACAATGGATTCATAGTCATCATAAGACTCTTAATTCCAGAATTTCACTGAATTCAAATTCCACCATCTGCCGTGGTGGGATTCAAACCTGGGTCCACAGAACATTCCCTAGATGTCTGTTTCCCAGAACAGTGTACAGTACAATGTCAACATAGATACAATGCATACTAGCCCCAGAACAGCACCAGTACAGGTATGGTGTGTAGCAGTAATGTCATGGGATATGAGGCCAGCATTTGTTGCCCATCCCTAATGTCCTTGAACCAATAGGCTTCCTGGCTCATTTCAGAGGGCAGTTAAGAGTTGCTGTGGGTCTGGAGTCACACATTAACCAGACCAGGTGTGGAAGACTGAAATAAAAACAACAAGTGCTGGAGAAACTCGTCAGATCTGGCAGCATCGATGGAGAGAGAAACAGAGTTAATGTTTTAAGTCTGAAGAGTCACGTGGGACCAGAAATGTTAATTCTGTTTCTCCCTGCACAAACGACACCAGGCCTGCTGAGTTTCTCCACACTTTCTGTATTCATTTTAGATTTCCAGCATGCGCAGTATTTTGCTTTTGACCAGGGAACGGCAGTAGATTTCCTTCCCTCAAGCACACTGTTGAACAGAGATAGTAGGAACTGGCCCCAAGAAGACTTTCCACATCAAGCAGATGTTCACCTGCACATCTGCCAATGTGGTATACTGCATCCGCTGTACCCGGTGTGGCTTCCTCTACATCGGGGAAACCAAGCGGAGACTCGGGGACCGCTTTGCAGAACACCTACGCTCGGTTCGCAACAAACAACTGCACCTCCCAGTCGCGAACCATTTCAACTCCCCCTCCCATTCCTCAGACGACATGTCCATCCTGGGCCTCCTGCAGTGCCACAACGATGCCACCCGAAGGTTGCAGGAACAGCAACTCATATTCCGCTTGGGAACCCTGCAGCCCAATGGTATCAATGTGGATTTCACAAGTTTCAAAATCTCCCCTCCCCCTACCGCATCCCAAAACCAGTCCAGCTCGTCCCTGCCTCCCTAACCTGTTCTTCCTCCCACCTATCCCCTCCTCCCACCTCAAGCCGCACCTCCATCTCCTACCGACCAACCTCATCCCGCCCCCTTGACCTGTCCGTCCTCCCTGGACTGACCTATCCCCTTCCTAACTCCCTACCTACACTCACCTTT